TATGCACCAAACACTAGTGCACCCAACTATATAAAACAAATACGGACATGAAAAGTCATATGTGCACTAATACTATAGTAGTGGGGGACCTCAATACCCCACTGTCACAAATAGATCAACTAGACAAAAAAATAAGTAATGAAATACTAAAATATTAGACAATAAACATAAGATCAGATGGAAAATATGCAAAATATGCTACCATTCTAACTAAAAATTATAATGTTAATACAATGTAGAATGTATAATTCTAAACCCAATTTCAGTATAAAAAGAACACATGACCAGTTTAACAAAAGATAGGAAAGAAGAATGAAAAGGCAAAGATGTTCCTAAGAAAAAGGAAAAACAAATACAGTAGGAAAAACACAGTTACATGTGAAGTTACCAAAAAAAATAAAATATTTCCACTTTAGAGACTGGATTAAAAGAAAATTTGGTTTATGCTGTTTACAACCTGAAATGTGGATACACTTAGAACACAACGACCCCAGAATTCAGCAGAGTTGCAAGGTATAAGATCAACACACAAAGCTCAGTTGCGCACCTGTACTTGCAGTGAACAATCTGAAAAGGAATTAAACCAATCTTATTCACAATATTATCTAAGAGAAACTTGGTTAAATTACACACTGAGAACACTACAAACATTGCTGACAAATTAAAGACCTACATAAATGGCAAGATATCCCATGTTCGTGGGTAGGAAAACTTTGTAGCATTGAGATCAATGTCACCCAAAGCAGTCTGTAGACACAATGCAAACTGTCAAAATTCTGACAGCCTTGTTTCAGAAATGGAAAAGCCAACCCTCAAATTTGTATGAAATTTCAAGTGGTCCTACATTAGCCAAAACACTTTTGAAAAAGAACAAAGTCAGTATGCTTCCAGAGCTACAGTAGTAATCAGCCTGTGTGATGCCACCATCAGGGTAGATGCACGGACTCAAGCTGAAGTGAGAGGCCCCCTGCAGCTAGCTGGCTTTTGTAAAAAGAGTTTTCCCCAGTGCCAGGGATCAAACTAAGGACCTTGCACTTGCCAGGTGGTGTGGCAATACTGCGCTACATCCCCAGGCCCAGCTGGCTGGCTTTTGCCAACACTGTGAAGCCCATTCACTGGGAAGAACAGTCTCCAGCACGTGGTGCTAGACAACGACGGGATGTTCATATCAAAAGAGTGAAGTTAGATC